GGTACTTTATTTATTTATTTTGTGAAGTATGGTTTCTCGAACTTACGATGTCAGAAGAGACTAGAGCCCAGCCTTGATTGATCCGAGTCACAGGACGGTGGGCCGAATTGCATTTCGGCCAACGGTGAGGCTAATTCATGAATTAAGTTAAACTAACATTCCCTTCGAACCATAACAACAGTCCGATTGAGTTTGCTCAAAATCGAGAGCTGTAGTCAATCTGCAGTCACCCTAACAACATGCTGAACCAACTGTCCTGCGACTTCGACGGATCCATAAATTGACTATTATCTCTCATGTAACACACAAGGTCTAAGCGAGGAACCAGCATTTACGATTTTTATATACAACGTCAATAAATAAGACGTTTTTTCGTAAATGATGCTTTCTGGCTTTTACGAGTTTTGGTACGTTATGCTTATTCTAGATGCTTACAATGGATGAATGGGTTGCATGAAGAAGGAGTGGATTTAGTAACACATTCTTTTTTTAAATGATATCAATAAATTATAAACCTACTAAATCTGAATATTTTTGGGACATTTTATAGTGTGATCTGAGATGACTTTTCATTTCGAAGCAAAAGTTGTCCGGAAGGAATTCCTGAACAGGAGGAACACCTTGTTGTGAAGATTGATGAATTCTGATGGATGGCTGACTCTCCTGCGATTTCAATGAATCCATGAATGAGCTAGCATCTGTCAGGTGCTCGATATTGTCAAAGCTAGAAACCATAATTTTCGATTTTTTAAATGCATTAAATAGAATAAAGTCCATAAATAGACCGTTTTTTCGTAAATTATGCTTTCAGGCTCTGGCGCTGAGTCCAGGACTGTTTCGCAATGTTTTCAGATGAGACCAACTCACGAATTGCCTTCAATTAACTTGTGTGTGAAAATAAAAAGTCATTTTGCCATACTTCACACAAAAACACAAAAATATTCCGATTACCTATGTTTCGAAACTACCAGTAGACCATTATTAAGAACTGTAATCACAACAACAATGTACCAAAAAAATAGGGAAACCAAATATGCGTCAAATTACAAGGAAATAACTGTCACACCAGCCACAGCCTCTGCAAGCATGTAGGCTAAATTTAAGGGGGCCAACTTCCTTAAGGCAACAAATGTAGGAGTAAAATGTGAGTATGATTGCAGTAGCCCACCCCTTTTTTGCCTCTGTGTTTGTTACGTTTTTTTGTAGAGTATTGTTGCTAGTTCTTACAATGTCTGTCACTACTGGCCAGACAATAGATGATCGCAGTCGCAGGACAGTAAGCTGAGGACTTTTTCACACAATACAATAATCTTTACTCCTTCAAAGACATCCTCCTTCACCTTCCGGATACAAGCGATTCACGAATCACCTCCTTCTTACATTACATTGTATCATTGAGGTGTTCTTTGAACCACATCTTTTCTCATATATTTCGTGAAGTATGCTTTCTCGACCTGACAATCTCTGTCATATGACAAACAATAAGACGGCACAGATTCTTCCGAGAAGTCTGATATTTAATTAATGACTTTCCTAGCAAGTTCAATTTTCTCGAGTCCTTCGCTTTCCGGAAGAACTCTTTTACGAAACCCTTTCCTCCAGCGTTTCCTTCAAACTGCAAATTTGAGTCACACTAAATTGTTGAGGGACTATCTTCGAACCCCAACATTTTCTCATATTTCATGAAGTTGCCCGGCCATTTTTTCACATTCTCCAATGTGTGTTTATGTTGTGACGGCCCATAGGAGGATGGGCTGTAGTAAGATAGTTGTCGGCAATGCGCATTTATTATGTGTACATGAAACCCATCCCGAGAGTCGGCCGGATGCGGGTCTTGTGCTTGGCAAACTGGCCGGTCAGAGCAGCCAGTCTCTGTCCGTCAAACCCGTCCACATTCGCCAAGAGCGCCACACCTCTCCCATATCCGCTACATCCCAGGCTTACTGTCATCCGGCTAATTGAATTACTGTGTTCTTTTGCCCCTCGCCCCTTCTTTCAGGTACCGGTCCGTCCGATCCCCGCATTGGTTACTGAGCCTGTTAGCAGGTGATAAGTGCTACACAACCTTAAGCCGGCTCCAGCCGGAGTTGACTCGAAGCAGAAGAGTGGGACGTCCAGCAGGAAAGGCGGGTGAGAGGATGGGTGAACGGAGGGCAGAGGATGGCGACAAGCCATCCTGATACGTAGAATCCAGCCTCCGGCTAGCCTGTGTGTTGTATGCGGCCGAGTTGGACTTGGGAGTCATTCAGCCGGACCACCAGGATGACCACAATAGCCGGTAGACTTGTCTAATCACCAGGACTTGACACCAATGCTCAACCCATCCTCACTCTCACCCCCAACCCCATCCCACCCCACCAGATACTCTTACAACCTCGCCTATTTTGCTCGGTCATACAGCTGAGAGAAGAACAGCCGAAACTTGAGTCCATTCCGGCCTCTCTGACATTATTTGGAGACGAAGTGATGGGCGAGTATTAAAAAGAAAAACATAAACACAGGCAAGTAGGAGGCGGCAACATGACCATTCAGAGTTTATAGTTTATGCAATCGGGTGGTTACTATTTCCATCCTTTTCAAATGAACAGACCTTGTGGGCTCCATTTTCTACCTACCTTCATCTTTCTTCTCCGTCTACTTCTCTCACGTTAAAGAGTGTATGTACCAGTCTGTGCCTATATGTGTGTTTGTATTCGTATGTGTGCAAAGTTCTCTACTGTTGCCAAGTTGACATATCCTCATGCCTGCATTAGGGTGTGATTACACACTGGAGTTGCTACTCTTGGGCCCTCTGATTGAAGAAAACAGTTTTAATAATAAATATCAGCACAATTAATTCATTGGTATGGT